CCGGATCTGCTCCATCCCAAATCCCTCCAGGCTGAACCACCCTTAAGTGGGGAGAGGGCAGAAAATGGGGACTACACCGGGTGGATTAGGAGAAGGAGCAGACTCTGCTGAAGTCAGGCAGGGGAAACTTCCTGGAGCCGTGACCCCTCAGAAGCTGGAGATGCTCTCAGAGGGTGGGGGGGGGGGGGGAGCACAGAATGAGGAAGTGTGTAGAAGCAGAAATGCTGGGTCTGGGCACAGAGTAAGGGGCAGGATGAGGTCGGGGTGATGTGAGGTGGGGCTGGGGACAGAGAGGCCATGGCTGGCCTGGCTATGAATTGAGGCTTTAGCAAATAGGTTTTATCTCCCTTATCTACCACAATCAGCTGGCCATGCCTGCCTAGAAGAGTTTTGAGGCCAGAGGACGGGCTCAGCAAGAGAAAGTGCTGTGATTGACTAGTAATGCCGGCCAGGGACAAAGCCTGGCAGAGTAGCATAGCTTTGTCCTCTAGTCTGTGTCCTCAGGCTGGCTCCCGTGGGCTGGGCACGCAACAGAGAGAGGCACAGTCTCAAGTGAGCTGTGGGAGCTGCACACGGGGAGGTTGGCTAAGGGCCCACTCTGCCACTGCGGGGAGCTGGGAGAGGGAGGAATTACGCTGGTCTCGTTCCCCTCTGAGGTCCCAATTCCCAGTTCCCTTCCCTGCACACTCCCTGGCCCAGGGCAGGAAACGTTTGAGCACGAATGGTGGGGAAGCCCCACAGCGGCCTGGCTCTCCTCACTTCTTCTCCTTTGCCTTCTCCAGGCAGCCTTGGGGAATTCCATCCTGCCAGTTCTTGTTCTCTGCTTATCCTGGGTGTGACCCTCTCCTACCTGCTCCCCAGGGCTCTGTCCTCCTAGCCCTCTGCCCCACACACCTGGGCAGGGCAGGGGGGAGGATGAATAGGCACGTGGCTCCCCAACCTGAGAGCCATCCCAGGCTAATAGCTTCCCCATGTTGCACTGCCATCACCCAGGGCCTGGCGGCTCCCTGCTGGAAGGAAGGCAAGGGCAGAATTTGGTTCCATTCAGAGGCTGTCACTGCAGAGATCCCAGGAATAGCCGAAAAGACAGGGTGAGCCCAGGTGACTGGAGAGCTGGGGATGGGGAACGTGGATTCTCCCAGACTGTAACAAGCCCCCTGGGCCACCTGTCTGTGGGTACTCCTGCAACAAGAGTGGCAAGTGCGCAGACATACAGGGTCTGTGTGTGTGTGCAGCTAACGGAGAGCTGCACATGTGTATTGTGTATTTCTGCACACACACGTTTCTGCCTGTGAGCATATGTGGATACAGGGTAGGTCTATGTGTGCTTGTGCCTGTATTGTGTGTGTCCTTATACGAGTGTGTATACATGTACAAGCTCAGGCGTGCACAGCCAGAGCTCTGTGCAGGGCAGGGGAGTTGCCAGGCCTTTCATGGTTCTCTCCTGGCCTGGTTTAGACATGACCTGTTCTGACTGCAACCCAGGCAGGCACCTCACCAGGGGATGGGGAAGAAGCTGTCCCAAGGTTCTGGGACAAACAGAATGACCCTCAGTCTGGGTCTCAGGCACAGATGGGCTGGAGTCCCCAGCACTCTCCCCAGCCCCTGCTCAGCTCTCATGGTGGGGTGTGTAATCGATCACCATTGCAAACTTCCCTCCTGAAAGCAGCAGGAGCCCACCCTGAATTTGTGTTAGCCTCCTTAGGATAGGAGGGCAAGGAACAGACCCTCCTCCCCTCCTCTCCCTCTGGCATGTGCTGTTCAAAACATGTTGGCCCATCTCTAAGAGATCCATGGACACTAGTGGGAAAAGGAAAGTCTGCTTCCAAGATGCTTAAATTATTCTTTTTTTCTCTTAAGATTTTATTTGAGAGAGAGAGTGAGAGCGAGAGCGAGAGAGAGCGAGAGAGAGAGCGAGAGAGAGAGCATAAGCACAAGTAGAGGGGAGGGGCAGAGGGAAAGGGAGAAGCAGGCTCCCTGCTGAGCAGGGCCCTGGGATCATGACCGGAGCTGAAGGCAGACCCTTAACCAACTGAGCCACTAGGCACCCGATGCTTAAATTATTCTTAGTGACACAGCTCCTGGGTCATCAAGCCATGTGGATGGCAGAGGGCGGGTTGCAGGGTGTGTGCACACCAGTTCACATCTGCTCAGTTCACATCAGACATCCCACTATCATAGCCAAGCCTTGCCCTCCTGGTAAGACTCCTTCACTGCTTGATTCTGGGCCTGGACATGTGCAGGCAGGGAAGGTAGCTCCAAACACGACTCATGGGTTCAGGCCTAGCGCTTGGGGGAAAAGGGATGAGCCAGATGGCAGGAGGACAAATGGGCTTGAGGGGAGGTAGACATGCCAATGGGTATCCAAAGGGAGAAGGTCTGGTGGGGGGTGTTGAACAGTGACAGTGATAGATTCCAGAGCAAAGATGGGGGCAGGGGTCCCAAGGGGCTAATTCTAGCCTGAGGATCAGAGGAGGCCTCCCTGAGGGTGACACTTGAACTGGGATCTTCTAGAAGGCCAGCAAGGGTGAAGCCAAAAAATGTCCAGGCCATGGTGCAAAGGCCTGAAGGTGTGTGGGAGAAGGGGACAGCCCTCAGAGAGCCCACACATACTCCACCTCCAGCTTACCCCCAGGGACCCAGACCTGTTCTGGGGTCCCCCACCCTGCCCCTCAGGGAGACCCTGGTGAGGGGGCAGAGGGGAGGTGGGGCACATCTCCTGGGGGCTGCAGGTGGGGGAGGGCCTGAACCCTGAAGGGCAGGAAAGGCCACATTCCTGAAGAGGAGGAATGTCTTTGATCCCAAGACCTTGCTCAGGGCACCAGGCTCTCTCTTCCAGGTATCTTTCCCAGCATTCTTGAGAGAGACTCACAGTTACAGGGCAAGGTCCTGGGCAGAGGCGGTCCTGGCCTCCTGCTGTCTGACCACGGGCTAGTTCCTGCTGTGCTCTGTAAGTCAGAGGGTTCTGTGTCTCCCCCCGCCCCTTGCACGCACGTGCACATACATGCACATGCACCCAGGACATCCCTGCTATGACCCATTTTATGCCTTATGTCTAGCTGTTCAAGACTGGAGGCAGGGCTTCCATGCAAAAACCAAGGCTTTGGGGTACTCCTCCAAGATGAGTGATGGGGGCCAGGGCCCCACCGGCAGCTCCTACAGCCATGCTAATTCTCTTCCACTCCTTTGCTCCCACTGTCACCTTCTCCTCGTGTGCCTCCTTTCTCCTGGACTCATCTGAACCCTGCCTCTTCTTCTGTCCCTTCTTAACACCCCTGCTGGAGGATGCCCCCACCTCCTGCGGAGTTTCTCCATTTCCCCACATCCTCACAGGTCTCTCCTCTAGCCTGTACAGACCCCCTGGAGGAGTCCTGAAGGGGAGACAAGGGAGACATCACGAGCTAATGGAAGGGGTGGCAGGGCCTCCCTCCTCTGTCCAGGAAGGTGCTTTCTCCTACGGCGGGGACAGGGACTGTGGGGACACAGTGGAGGCTCCCATTTCCCACTAGTGAGAACAGCGACCAATTCCTCATCAGGCACTGCTGTCCCCGAAGCTCCAGCCAGCCCTCAACAAGCCCGCTGAGGAATAATTCATCAGCCAGCAGGTCCCCTCCAGTGTGGGTCTGCTCAGGCTTCCTTTTCGAGTGCTGCCTCCGTCCCTGACAACCAGCACCCGGACTGCCAGCCAAGGGCCTGACCTCCAAGGAGTACTCTCGTAGCTGGATAGATCTGTGATGGGCTTGCTGGGCTCTGTCCAGGCAAGGTGGCTGTGTGCCGACCAGCCTCGGGCAGAGTGGGAGACTGAAACCCCAAGGAAGCAGAGGCACTCCGCCCGCGGGGAACGGACGCGGCGGACTGCAGGGCCCAGCCGTTAGCTCCCTCCCTGGGCAGATGACACTGGCTCCGTAGGGAAAGCGCGGCAGTCCGTGCGCACGCGCACCGCTGGAGTCGAGCCGCTTTGTTCCAGCGCTACCTGCGGCTCCATTCACCTCCTCCGCCCCGCCCGCCTGCGAGCCGATACACGGCGCTCGCGGAGACCCCGCCCACTTCCCCGCGCTGGGTGGAACCGGTGACGAGCCCCGCCTCCCTCCCCAACCGTCTCCTTCAGTCGCGATTGGCCATCTGCGCGACGCCCTCCCGCCTACCGCGAAAGTGGGTTGGTGCATTGGGAAGGAGGTTGGAGAGGGAGAGCTGATGGTAAAGGAGAGCTCTCCGCCCACCCGCCCCGAGGGAAAGTCACGTGGCACTTCACTCGGCGCCTGTCACCTCCCCGCCTGTAAAGCTTTCTTAAAGGGCTCGCTCTCTCTTCTTAGGGCTGGTCCTTTCCAGGATTTCTCCACTCCTGCCTGCGGAGTGTGGCGCGGCCCTGGGTCCTCCTATTCCTCCAGTCCCCTGTTTGCTGATTCCCCATCAGGCCTGCTAGGGTGGGACCCCCTTTCAGGTCTCGGAGCCTGTGGCCATCAAAGGGACTAGGCAGTCGCCTGAAACGGTGACCTTATCCTAAGCACAGTGCCTGGCACGTAGTAGGCGTTCAGTTTCCATTTGTTGAATGAACTCGCTGAGAAAATGAATGAATGGGGTTGACAGACAGGAGGAGGGCACGTTGGCTCAGCGTGACCGCCCCCACCCACCGCCCTATCCCTGGGGAGACTGTTATACAGTGCAAGTGGGGAGAGGATGCCAGGCGCAGGACGCCCCTAGGGCAGCCCTTCACGGTAGGACTCAGTAGAGCTGGGAGCGCGGGCATAGGGGAAAGGTCTTGGTTGGGCACCCCAGGCGGGTCTTAGCCAGGTCCGGGTTGAGGTGGGGCGAGGGCCCGGGCGGGCGCAGGTCTCGGGGCGCACGGGGCCGCGAGCGCGCTCGCGTCCTCGGTGGGGAGGGGCGGCGGAGGCGCGGCGGAGGCGCGGCGCCTTTAAGTCCGGGCGCCGGCCCCCGCGGCCCCGCCCCCCGGAGGACGCCTCGGCGCGCGGCCGCCGGAGCCGCCGTTTAATTGGGGCTGTCAGGCCGCGGCGCGCGCGGAGGGCCGGGCGGGACGGAGGCCGGGAGGCCGGGACGGCGGGCGCGCAGCTCGGCGGGAGGCGGGCGCCCGGAGACGCGGCTGGGGCCCGCGCGGCCGGGGCGCCGTCCCAGGGCAGGGCTGCCCGGCCCCTGCCCCGGGCCGCCCGCGCTCCCCATGAAAAACCAGCTCCGCGGCCCCCCAGCGCGGGCGCACATGTCGGCCTCGGGGGCGTCGGCTGCTGGGGACACCGGGGCGGGGTCGGAGCCCGGTGCGGGGTCCGGGTCCGGCGCTAGCACCGGCGCGGGAGCGGCGACGGGTGCGGGGGCCATGCCCTGCAAGAGCGCCGAGTGGCTGCAGGAGGAGCTGGAGGCGCGCGGCGGCGCGTCCCTGCTGCTGCTCGACTGCCGGCCGCACGAGCTCTTCGAGTCGTCGCACATCGAGACGGCCATCAACCTGGCCATCCCGGGCCTCATGCTGCGCCGCCTGCGCAAGGGCAACCTGCCCATCCGCTCCATCATCCCCAACCACGCCGACAAGGAGCGCTTCGCCACGCGCTGCAAGGCGGCCACCGTGCTGCTCTACGACGAGGCCACGGCCGAGTGGCAGCCTGAGCCCGGCGCTCCCGCCTCGGTGCTTGGCCTGCTCCTGCAAAAGCTACGCGACGACGGCTGCCAGGCCTACTACCTCCAAGGTGAGGGCAGCACTGAGACCCCCGTCCGGGACTGCGGCTCGCCCGCGGCTCCCTGACGCCCCCGCCGGAGGCTGCTTTCTCTCCGTGCGCTCCGCCGGCCCGGCCGGCGCCACGTCGCCCCCGGCTCGCATCCGCCTCTACCGGGAGCTCGGCCCCCGCGGTGCGGGTTTAGGCAGGCGCGGGGGTCCCCTCTGCACCTCGTTCTCGGCACGATTCGAGTGGGCTGAACAAACTTTTCCCGGCCTGGGCTTTTTTTTTTTTTTCTTGTTGGGGTCATGGCAGCGCCTAGGCTCCTGCTGAGCCCCTCAGAGGAGGAAGGGGCTGCCTCCTGGGACCCCAAAGACGACAGGGCACCCAGGTCCAGCTGCTCCAGCCTAGAATGCGTGTCCCTGGGAGACTAGGGTCAGGATATAGGAGGCTTTGGCAGCATTATCCCCGCCCCCAAGGTACAGGGACCGTTTGGGTTGGGGGACTCTGGGCATCTCAGCCTTGGCCTCACTACTTGGGGATCACAGCCTCTTGGAGGCACTTGGGGGAGGACTATAAGCAGTGTCCCCTGACCTGGCTTTCCGGGACCCCCAAGTCCCCAGCCTACTGCCCTAAAGCTTGTGGAAGGGGGAGGCAGCTGGGGGGCGAGTGGCTGCAGCCGGTGTTTCCAATTAACATTCCAAAATGGCCTCTCGCTGGCAGCCGGCGGGCGGGCAGGGAGGGGAGGGGAGGGGAGGCCTGCGGCACCCTCGGGCGCAGGGCCCATGCCTAGCTGCAAGGCGCTCCCCATTTCTTGTCTCTCTAAAGCCCCAGCAGCCCTCCCCCTCTGGGTTTCCTAGGCTGGGGGTCTTGAGTTCTAAGGGGAAGAGGTGGAGTTGGGACCCCTTTTACAAACTTGCCACTGTGGGTGGAAAGAGCCAACCAGTACTTTCACACTGCCCTCCCTGACTGTGGTTGGGGGTGGGGGGCAAGGACTGGACTCCCAGTCAGGAGGCCCAGGCCCTCTGGGCCTCTAACTGACCTAGACACAGCTCTGGCCCCTGCTGTCTCATCGGTAAGAGGGGTTCGCACACCCACAGGTACTGGCCTGAGATGGGGTTGTCTGCTTTCCTCTACCACTTAGCAGTTATTGAGCACCCATGGGTGCCAGGTGTGCATGGGGGCTGTGGAAGAGAAATGAGCTGGGGCCTGGCCTTAAGTGCCTAAAGCTGCTGGTGTGGTTGGGGCCCTGAAGCCTTATGGGTCAGGGTATGGAGCTCAGGCATGTTACTTCACCTCCTGGGGCCTCAGTTTCCCATCTGTCAGGTGGGTCAGGGGAGAGATGTAGAGAACACAGGAGCCGGCCCACGTTGGCTGTTGTTGGCGTTATAGTGCTTGATGTGGGCAGCGCCGGCTATCCCTGGTCGCGTGCAGCCCGTTGGGCTGGGGACACTGGCCAGCAGCATGGGCAGTCTCTCACCCAGGCCCTCTTCCCCTGGCCACAGGTGGTTTCAGCAAGTTCCAGACAGAGTATTCAGAGCATTGCGAGACCAGCGTGGACAGCTCGTCCTCACCAAGTGGCTCACCACCCACCTCCGTGCTGGGCCTGGGGGGCCTGCGGATCAGCTCCGACTGCTCAGATGGGGAGTCAGACCGGGAGCTGCCCAGCAGTGCTACTGAGTCGGACGGCAGCCCTGTGCCATCCAGCCAACCAGCCTTCCCCGTCCAGATCCTGCCCTACCTCTACCTCGGCTGCGCCAAGGACTCCACTAACCTGGACGTGCTCGGCAAGTACGGCATCAAGTATATCCTCAATGTCACGCCTAACCTGCCCAACGCCTTTGAGCACGGTGGCGAGTTCACCTACAAGCAGATCCCCATCTCTGACCACTGGAGCCAGAACCTCTCCCAGTTCTTCCCCGAGGCCATCAGCTTCATTGGTAGGTGCTGCTGCGCTCTGGGCGGGGTGGGTGGGCAGGTGCGTCGAGGTGTGTGTGGGACTTGGGTGTCCCTGGCGCCTGACTGGGAACCTCTGGGCCTGTCGAAGCCTGTGTGTGCCCTGCGTGTACCAGCATGTGCCCGGGGCCGAACCCATGCCTGCTCTGAGTCACCAAGGCCCTCAGGACCCGAGCGGTCCCCTGAGCCCTGGACTCCCCCCAACTGTTGGCACCCCACGGACTCTACTGTCCAGCTTGGTGTTTTTCTGGCTCTGCTGTTTTGGGCTCAGCAAGCTGAAACATCACAGCTCTTAGACCTCCCACAGGTCTTGCTTGCTCTGCATCACGCCTCGGCACACATGTTTTCCGGGAGGGGGCTGCCACCGTGCCTCTTTGGGCTTTATTTTGTACCTGAGGGGGCTGAAGGGTGGCCCTGGAGCCAAAGGCCGACCCCGAATGGGCAGCTATGGGAATGTTGTGAGCCAGAGTGACTTGGTAGGGCCCTAGATGCTCCCGGCAGCCTGTGGGGCTTGCTTGGAGTATAGAAGGCCTCCCCCGGAGCAGTATGTTCTGCTGTTCGGCTTAGAGCCCTCAGCCCCTGACATCCCCAGCTGACTCAAGATCCACGAGTTGCCTTATCTTTGACCTCCCCATCCTGCTTCCTCTGTGGCCAGCTGGAGGCTGTTAGACTGCAGGTCATCTTCCTGGCCCCAGCTCTTACCCAGGGTTCAGGGAAGGGATACAAGATCAGGGTGAATGTGAACCCTTGGCTCTCTGAGCCTGGTGACCCTGTGTTTCTGCCCAGCCTCCAGTGGCAGAGAGGAGGTGGCCTGGGCAGTCCTCTCCTGCTGGCGGGCCGTGTCCAGTGGAGGGCGTTTTGGTGTCAGCTGGGCCGGGCTAGCTTTAATAACAGGAAGTGGGAGGCTTCCCCGCCTCATCCGCTTACTGGGAACCAAAACTAGGTGCCTGGCTGGGAGGAAGGAAGGAAGCTGAGGCCTGGGGGAGGGGCTGTGACCAGGGCTGTTGGGAGCTTCCCAGCTCTGCCCAGGAGGACAAGGCCAGGAGGTCTCTGGGTCCTGCCTGATCATTCACTCTCTCCCCCCAACAAGACAGGGGAGCAGAGAGGGGGATCCCAGGCTCCCAGGGCTGAGCCTGGCTCATGGGTGCCTTTATCCTTTTTGAAGGCCCCTCTGCATCTGGGGAGGGGGACAGAACAGGGTGTAGGGGTGGGGGGGGACAAGTGAAGGAATAGAGGCCCAAGCATCCCCTAGGACTCAGTGGGACAGGATCAAGCCCTAGCCCGTGCGCTGCTCAGCCACACCCTGAGAAAGCTAAAAATAAAGCCAGCGGAAGCAGTTTCACTTTGGATCACCCGGGAGTGGGTTTGGGGGCCAGGCGTTCCCCATACTGTGGTGTGTCACCACTGGAGGCTCATCACCACCACCCCGTTAGCCCCAAGTCTCAAGGTCAGACCGCACGACTCTGCACCAAGCTGCGGCTACTCTCTTCCCCTGCTAGTCTTGCCTCCAGGCAGTCCCTGGATCTGGATTAAGTACCTACTGCATGCTTAGCCTTGGGCACCCTCGTGGGGGTGAGGAGGGAAGCTCTGCCAGGCCCGAGGGAATGAGCACCGGAGACGGAACAACTTGTGAACCTGTGCGTCATCTTGTGGGAGTGCACTGATTGAGCATCAGCTGTGTGCCTGGCTCCCAGTGGGCTCAGAATCAGAGAGGTGGGCACCTTGAGGGCCCCAGGGAGCTGCCTCTTGAGGGCACAGAGAGAGGCGGCGGCCCCGCGTCCAGGGGAGGAGCGCTTACGGGGCCGATTGTTCAGTGGCTCAGCCATGTTTATTGAGCTCCTACTGTGTGCAGGCCAAGGAGCCTGAGAGAGGCACTGGGGAAAGCTGACGGTTGGCAGAGCCTGGTTGGTGGTGGTGGGAGATGTCACTGGTGCATGGGCCTGCCGGGGGGAGTCTAGTAAGCCGGGGTGGGGGTGGGGGGCCACCTAAGCAAGCCTCCCTTGCGAAATCTCAGGTGTGGCCTTCCTCCCAGTCCCTGGCTGTTGAGTAAAGCTAAGGGGCGGGGGACAGGGCAGAGCTGGCTATAGGGCCAGGCCCCCCATTTCCTTTCAAGGGCTCCCCTCAGGCCTGTTTCCCAGGAGGCCCTCAGGGGGTCCCCCCGGGAGCCACACCAGGAGAACGAGCTCACTCCCCCCGGCCGGGTCGTGGGCTGACAGTGGTGTGTGCTAGGAGTTAGGAGGAGCCTCTCTGTGGCCTTGGGCTTGTCGCTCTGTCTTTGCGCCTGTGACCTCATTTATGAAATGAACTTGCTGACCGTGGTGCAGATGGCCCGAGAGGACACGGGTGACACCCTCAGCACAGGCCGAGCAGTGCCTGTTGGCCATCACTGGTGCCAGGGTTTGGAGAGCCCTCTCTTGGCTCAGGTCCTTGTAAGGGTGCTGTGAACACGGGGGCCCATTTTACGGATGAGGAGACTGAGGCACAGGGACACCCAGTGACCTGAAGCGAACGCGTGGCAGAGCCCTCTCCGCAGTCATGCTCTTGCCCTCCACCCCCAGTGGCCGTGCCACCCATGTGGGCCTTCACCAGGTCCCCCAAGAGTCGGGCAGCACCAGCCAGTGACCCTGCCGCCCTCTGTGCCCCAGCCCCACCTCCGTCCGGCTCCCTGGAGGAGGCTCCCTCCTGACCCATGCCCATGTGTTTCAGACGAGGCCCGCTCCAAGAAGTGTGGTGTCCTGGTGCACTGCCTGGCAGGGATCAGCCGCTCGGTGACGGTCACCGTGGCCTACCTGATGCAGAAGATGAACCTGTCGCTCAACGACGCCTACGACTTCGTCAAGAGGAAAAAGTCCAACATCTCGCCCAACTTCAACTTTATGGGGCAGCTGCTGGATTTCGAGCGGACGCTGGGGCTGAGCAGCCCGTGTGACAACCACACCCCCAGCGAGCAGCTCTACTTCTCCACGCCCACCAACCACAACCTGTTCCCACTCAACACCCTTGAGTCCACGTGAGGCTGGGGCACAGGTGGCGGGGGCCGGCCCCTCCCGACCACCCCCCCCAACCCCCTCGGGCCAGGTGGGCGGCCCGCTCCTGCTACGTCCAGCCGGAACCCAGACAGCCTCGGACATGGCTGGTGCCCGGAGGCCCCGGGTGGGCAGGCGGCCGAGCTGCCCTCGCTGCCCTCACCGCCCTGGGGCGGGCGGACCCCACAGCAAGGCCTCCCTCTGCAGGACTTTCTGGAGAGGCCCTGCGCTCTGGGACACATGGCCTCGGGAAGCCAGCAGGGCCTCATCCTTGTCCCAGGACACTCCATCGGCAGATGGGCCAGCCAGTTCGGCTGTTTTTTAAAGACACATCCACGGACCTGAGTTTACTTTTTACTTTTGGCAGGTGAATCCAAGCTCGCTGGAGCACGGCAAGTGTTCAAGCTCTTCTTGATTTTTCTTTTTTAATGAAAAGTGTTATTATCAGGCTACATGCAACAGTGGATTGTATAAACCAGTATTTCATCCCTTCCTTGATCCCGTGAGAGAGAAAGAGAAGTATTCTCAGTTTTGTTTTTCTTCCTATTTCAAAAAGCAATTATTGGTTTTTTGGTTTTTGTTTTTAATGGAAAAGACAAACCCCGTGTTGATCTTGACCAAATGCGTTTTGCACATGTGTGAAGCCTCCCGTTTCTGCAGCAGCAGGCCCTTCTCGAAGGGGTGGCTTGCTGCTCCCTTGGCGTCAGACCCCCCAGTCGTGCCCACGTCTCTTGGCCCAGCCCCCATGGCACTGCACTCGCCCGTGATGACCCCTGCAAGTCATGATGGGTGGGCTGACGGGTGGCCTTTGCATTCTCAGCCCTCCAGCAGCCCCTGCAGACTCCCGGAGGCAGGAGATGGGAGGCCCTGCGGCAGGCCGGCTGGAGGTGGGGCTGCAGGGGACTGTCAAGCAGTAGCATTAGCCCTCTGGGTTCAGCCCGTAGGAGGGTCTGAGCCCGGGCCCTCTCTAGAGTACCCACTACTTCTGTCTGTCTCTTTCTCTCTCTCCCCGCCGTTTGTTTGTGACTGCGAGTGGAGGCCCAGCGGCTGGGGGAAGCCTAGGTGGTGGAGGCCCAGCCCCGCCTCCTAGTTTCTGTCCCTCACCCTGGCTGTTGCTTCGGTCCAGCTGCCACCCCGAGCCCCCGTGTCCCGTGGAAGCTGGCCCTGCGCTCATCTTGCCCATGCCTTCTACTACCAGGAAACTCGCACCCGTCTCAATCCCAGGGCAGGGGCGGAAGGGGCGAGGATGGACAAGAGAAAGGGGCGTGGGGCTCTGTCCACCCCCCTCCCAGGATCCACAGAACAAAGCCACGGATTCCGTTATCCTCCTCCAGTTTTGTTCCTTCTCCAGCCTCAGTACCACCAGGTGTCATGACTGCACAGGGGCCCAGGGAGAGGTGAGTGGTCAGGCCGGGGTCCCTGAGCGAGTCCGCACTTGGCATGCGAGCGAGGCTACGGAAACTCTGCCCCACCGCGTCTTACCTCACGGGGCGGTTTTCAGGGATTCTTAAAGGCAGCGGATTAAAATCTTGCCACAGTCGAGAAATTGACAAAAAGCTTCCATGCCGTACATGGTTCTTTCTCTTTTTTACTTTTAAAAAGAAAAACCCAGAAAGATGCATCAAATTTGTGTAAATGAGAGTATGCCAAGAGGGTGGCCAGTTTTGCTTTATGATCTTATGAAGGAAAATTTGTGACCCTACATATATATACCACACACATACATATATATATCCCGAACCAGCAACGGGACTTTGTTTATATTGCAAATAAATATTATTTTTTCTTTAAAACAAGTTGTGGTGTCCAGTAAGGGCCTGGGCCAGCCAGGCGGGGGTAGGGGGGAGTTGGGGGTGGGAGGCGTCTCAGCACCTGTCCTGTGTGAAGGCAGCTAAGCCAGGAGGAGGAGGAGGAGGAGGAGAGGCAGGGCCTGGCGGGAAGGGAGCTGAGGTGTGGCATTTCCCCAGCCTTCGGGCACTGCAGGTAGGGATCTCAGGACTTTCTCTGGGGGATTTTAAAGGCTGGTTGGTTGGCAGGAGATGGAAGCTTGGAGGGGTTTTGTGGACCAAGGTCACACAACTGAGCCCCTGCTCACCCTGAATGGCTCAGGGCTGTCCACTTGGGCACTGGCCAGATTTGCCCCAGGGCCCCGGGCTATGGACCGGGCCCTGGGGCCCTGACCTTTCCTCTTGCTGCTCTTGTGGGTGGAATAGGGGGTGTGCACGTATCACCTCATCCTCCCAACTCCCACCCTCGCCAACCCCCACAGTCCCAGGGAAGTCAGCGGGATGTGAAACCTGGCTGGTGATGGGTCAGCCCTGCTTTGCTCCTTAGGAGCTGGGCGGCCTCAGGTCCCTCAAGCCTCCCTAAGCCTCCGTTTCCATCTCTAAAGTGAAACCAATGACACCCAGATACCCAGTGCTTTTTGTGTTCGGGGCACGATGAGCATGTTCTATTTGTTTCCTGGTCTGGGCCTACAGACATGGACCCTGGGGTCCATGCCTGGCTTCTCCAGAGCAAGTGAGTGCCCACCCACCATGCCGGGCCCCCCCTGGGTGGAAGCAGGGAGCAAGAAAGAGGGAAGGGGCCTGGAGAAGGATGGTGGCCATGGCCTGGGGGTGTGAGGCCCTCCGTAGGCGGCCTAGCTCCATGTGGAACAGGGCTCCAGAGCGGGGAATGGAGGCTCCGGAGGGGTTTATGTTTCCTTTGCCTCCGGCTGGATTGAGTGAGCCCCAGTCAGGGACCAGGTGCTGACTCAGTTTCCTCATCTCTGCCTCTCATCTAGCTTTACCCCTTCCGCCGTGACCACACTGGGTGGCCGCCGGTAGGCAGCTGCGGTGGGTAAGGGCAACCCGACCTCCTTCCAAAGACTCCCAGCTGGGCTGTCCAGACTACTTTTTGGTCCCTGCCCCATCTCTGCACAGGAGTTCCGTTCAACTGGAGCACAGTGATGCCTTCAGGCATCTGATGAGGGGTAGAGGGCAGGTCCTTCAAGCAGAGGGACCTCAGTTCTAATCCCAGACGTGTGGCTACCAGCTCCTCGCCCCCTCAGCTTACCCATCTTTAGAATGGGGGAACGCTTGTGCAGCCAGCAGGCCCGTGGCAGGGGGAAGGGGGCTTCTCACAGCCTCGGCGAAGGGGCGGGTGCTGCTTTTGCACTTGGGCTGCCTCTGGGCCCTGGCCCTTCTGTGCCAGGGGCAGGCAAGGGGGTGGGGGCCTGCGCAGGCAGAGACTGGGCCTTTGTTCCCTCTTGCTGCCCTTGGCCGGGGCTGGGGAAGCCCGCAGGGGCCGGGCTGGGGGCTGGGCCCTCGACAGGCCGAATGAGCGCCTGGCAGTACCAGCATGCCCAAGCACAGGCTGGGGCGTGGGAGCGGCATTGCCTCCCGAGCCAGCTCCTCGAATGGAGGACGAGGGGGCTTGACCTCCTGTGCGACCTCAGGCCCGGCGGCCTCGCTCAACCTCCGTGTCCTCATCTGAGGAAGTTCACACCTCAGCACCATGCCTGGCTGCGGGTTCCCTTTAGCTTCTCTCTGGTGGGGACAGAGGACCAGGTCATGGCCGGGTGGCTGGGACTCTGGGTCCGCACTCTGTGACTTTGGGCTGGGCCATGCTTACTCTGGCTGGCTGTCTCTACCCTGGCTCCCAGGTTCCCACCTCACAGCCCACTCTGAGCTCCTGTTACTCCACCCTGTTTCTACTGTGCTCTTCCCCCGTGGGCTCTGGCTCTCCCAGGCCATCTCTGGCTGGAGCCCTTGATGCCCATGTCCCCTGAGCTCCAGGATGCTGGCTCTCTGAGATGGATCTGTTTAGTCCATGTGCTCTCAGTCCCAACTCTCCTCCTGACCCCCTCTTTGCCTCCCTTTGGATTCCTGTTTCTGTCTCCGTCTCAGCCCAGCGCCCCCCTCCCTCCTCGTCTTAGCCACTTCCCAGCCTTCTCATGGGAGGAAGATCTGAGCCACTCACTCACGGGCACATTCATCCAGCAGCCATTTCCTGTGTCGGCTGCGCTGCCCCAGGAGTGGGAACATGCCTGAGGGAAGTTTGGTGATGTCAGGCTGGGTGGCGGGATAATGGGGCCCTCAGCTTGTCCTCTGATAAATCAGGCGCAACAGCAGGAGTGACTAAGGCTGGACACGAGAAAGAACTTGCAGCACTACGGAGCAGTCCCCCTGCAGGGCGTCTGACAAGTTGACCGCAAAAGAGATGAACATTTTCCTAGGGCAGTCCCGCTCTGAGCTTGGGGGAGGGGCAGGCAGCAATCAGGAGAGGGGTTGCCCCCCCCACCACCCCGGGCCTCTCCCCAGGGTGCAAACACAGTCATCCCTCATGAATGGGGCAGGGTGGAGGTGTGCAGCGAACCCGTGCTGGGACCTGCCCCTCCCCTACCACCACGGCTGCCTGGCATACTCAGGCCTGCCTCCAAACACCAGGTCTACACCGGGCTGTCTTCCGCGTCAGTCTGGACGTGGCCGGGACACCAGCACCCACACCAAACTCTTAGCAGAAGCTGGAAAGCCTGATGTGGGAGCCAGGCGTCCCTGGAGCCTGGGCACCCCAGGAGCCTGGCTGGGTCCTGATCTTTGATCTATTCCCCCTGCTGGTTCTGGACCCCACCTGAGCACAGCCCTCTCACCTCCTCCCAGAGTTCTTCTGGGATTGGTCCCATCTGACTCCTGATACCCAGCAGACCTGAGAGCCTGGAGACGGTTCAGAATTGTCCTGTTCCCCCCAACCCTATGCAGATAGGGAAAGCGGGGCTCAGATGGGGTCATGGAGTGAGTCAGGGAAGAAGCTAGGCCTCCCCACACTGCTGCCCTGAGTCTTTCACCCAGGTCCGGCCTCCCCAGTCGGGCTGGGAGCCTTCTCTATCCGGCCCTGTGAAGGACCAAGGACATATGCATGCGTGCACGTGCGCGTGCGCGCGCACACACACACACACACACACGGCCCCCTCATTTCTCAGACAGGACAAGCCCAAGCAGGTCCCACAGTGACAGAGGAGCCGCCTGCCTCTCACTCCAGCCTCCTCTCATTAGGGCGCGGGTGGGGTGAGGTCATCCCTTCCCAGGCATGGCCATTAAAGACCGTCATTAGCAACTCTCAAGAGGTAAGATGAGGCCTCAGCCCCATTGTCTCTGGTTGGGTCAGATTAGCCTCCACAGGCGACATGGGACAACAGTGCCTGCTGCAACACCCTTTGCTCAGGCAGCCAACCCCTTTCCCCAGGGCTGCCCCATCACACACCTCCAGGAGCATCGGCTACCTTGTGGCTTCTGTGCATCTGTAGGATCTCCATCAGCCCTTCCATACCCGCACCTCCTCTGGCCCCAGGGTCCTTCCATCCCTGCTGCAAGCAGAGAAGCTGCAGCCCCTTCTGCAGGGCTGGATGGGCCAGGGAGGACCAGGTGTGGTCCAGAGAACCAGGGAGCCCCTAACGAGCTTTAAGCCTGAGCCTGATAGGGTCTGGTTGTCACTAGAAAGATCCCCCAGCTACTAAGTGGAGAACAGCCTGAAGGGGAATGTGCAGGACAGGGGACAGT